ACTCACACACACTCACACACACTCACACACACTCACACACACACACTCACACACACACACACTCACACACACACACTCACACACACACACTCACACACACACACTCACACACACACACTCACACACACACACTCACACACACACACTCACACACACACACTCACACACACACACTCACACACACACACTCACACACACACACTCACACACACACACTCACACACACACACTCACACACACACACTCACACACACACACTCACACACACACACTCACACACACACACTCACACACACACACTCACACACACACACTCACACACACACACTCACACACACACACTCACACACACACACTCACACACACACACACACTCTCTCACACACCTCCCACATGAGGTTATTGTTCTTCCGCAGGTCCACGTGCTCAGGGGACACGAGGCTCCCGGAGAACGGGCCCATCTCAGTGCCAGCTTTGATCCAGGTCTTGGAGAAAATCCCCAGACCTTCTCCAGGGACTGAACTCTGAGCGATGATGACCTCGCTGGGCAGAACCAGACTCGACAGCTTCTGCACCTCTGCAGGACACCGGCACCATGAATATCAATAAGCATCATCTGAGATATTCAGCTTCTTTACTGGCAGAACCTTTAACATCCATCTATCTTTCCATTGCACAAAAGGTTCTCCAGATTATTCAAATGTTCTTCACACTACGAAAAAAATGGATGGTAACACTTTATTTTAAGCTGTCCTTGTTACACGTTACGTGTACTTACGATTATAATAACAATAAATGATGCATATTTACATGCAAGTAATCCTAAACCAAACCCTAATCCTAACCATAAAGAGAGTGCATGTGGTTAATTAATAACACTCGTTACAGTGTATTTATATACGTTTAAGTACTAAGGACACCTTAAAATTAGTTTTTTAAGTGTGTAACATGTTAATAGTATATAAAATGAATAATCAACTATATAATAGAATCTGTAGGCCTATATAACAATAACCAGGTTATTTCTGACTTTATTACTCATGCTCGGTGATGGTTAAATAGGCTGCTATATTAAATACACACAACAAGCAATATTAACATATTAAACGATCTGGTTTTTATAGACTTGCAAAAACATAAATGACACTTTAATCGTGTGTAAACGAATTAATATTAAAACGCTCACGAATATGAATCGTTTTGCTTGTTTTAATTAAAACATTCTGGTCGTCTGTGATATCTGTTAATATCGCTTGTCATGCTGGTGTTAACTTAACATTTAATATGCACTTCTCAAATCATTTCAGAGAATAAAACAGCCTTCATAAAAACTTTGATTGATTGTTTAATTCGCTTAGCCGTCAAACAAACGCGATTTTATCGTTTCTAGCGACCAAACAAAGTGGCGCATCTTTGTAATGAGACTTTGGCAGACGCATCGAAACGAATGAATGAAATTAATGCCCTTTATTATTATTTTGGTCACGAAATATGACCTCTATTTAACCGGATTAAGTGCGTTAAATGTTGGGGAGGGACACTGTAAAAGCGCATTGAATGCGCCACAAAGAAAGACGCTCGCATTTTACGCACAAAATCAAAGAATTGCGCATTTGTTGCGCACAAAACGCGACCAGAAGCGGCTGAGAAGAGCTGAAGAACCGCATTCGTTCCACTCCTTATTCTCCACGGACTCATTCCACATTCATTATCCGTTTGTAGCAATACATGCGAGTGAATGAAGCCATGGCTTGTTTAAAAGCACGCAGGAATGTCGCAAACACAAAGATGGAAAGGCGATTATCTGCTTGACACGCCGTGAATGAGGACAGAAAGAGCCGTTCACGGTGCGTTACTGAAGAGAAGCGGAGGTGCCAGCGCAGGAGAAGACATCCGAGAATGCATCTTTTCTTTGGCTTTCTCAGGTCAAGCACAAAGTTAACCAAATGAATTTAAACCGCGTTACACGGCTTCAGTGCAGCAGGAGAAAAGAGGCTAAATGCACTAAATGCTGGAGAACGGCTTCCTTCAAGCAGCTTGGGAAGAGATTCCCAGCAGACCAGAGAGAGTTTGTTCCCACTGGTTCAGGCGTTTTCCGACACAACAAAAGCGCATCGAAAAGTGCGGAGTAGCCTACAATTGAGGTTTATTATTATTCGACGCAATCCGACAACAAACCACAAGCATTTCTCCCGACACGAGACAGAACACACACACCGAGCCAACACCTGTTTTTCTTTTTCGCTCGAATTGAGCACAAAACGGGTTTCAGTTCAATGCATTTAATTATCTCTCATTTCACAAGAATAAAACAATCATCTAGCTGCACATAAATGCAATGCATTTGAAACTCAACAAGAATATAATTCTACTATCATGAAAGCATATTTAAAACACTTAACAAATTATTTTTGTTTGCGATTTTAGCCACACGCGATCCTAAACTAACACTTCGCTTTAAATGTATCGATATAGCCTATCATTGATCAATATAACATGCTGAAACTTTAAAAAGCATAAACAGATAGGGTGTTTTTGAATAAGTTGATTTCGTATTGGCGAATTTCACAAATGCAGGTAAATTGGGACACTTTTTGCCATTAAGATGACTTGGGTAAACAAATGTCCCAGTTATCCTGAACTCATACTCTTCTTCAGCCAGTTCAGACCTTACGAAAATTAACCATGCTTTTATTATTTATATATATATATATATCATTTTTTTTGGTGTTGATTTTTTTATAACCACGGTTTTACCACAAGTGCATGGCTAAACTATAGTTAGTGCAGCAAAACCACGTGGTTGCCATAGTTTAACCACAGGTTTTCTGGTTTTATCAGTAGTAAAGCCATGGTTAATAGTCGTCTAACAGTAAAAGTTGTACCTCCGGGGAAGGACTGCGCGAGAGCCTCGGCGGTGAAGGCGGTCCTCTGCGGCTCCTCGCACGGATTCTCTCCCAGCACGTTCCTCCATCGGCCGTACAGAAAACTGTGCAGGATATCAGAGGTGATGATCTCACACAGCTGAGACCTGAGCCTGGACTTCAGCGCGAGCGCCTCCGCGGGCAGAACCGAACCCATGAGTGCTGTGGCGCAGGGTCTGATGCGGGATGAACTGCTGCGCTCCCTCCGGATCAGCTCCACTTATAGGAGCCTG